ATATGATATATACCATCTGCTAACATACTTCACAAGCACGGTCAATCCAAGATTCTGTGAGGTTTGCTATAGCCCCAATACACAGTCACGTCATTATTCAATGTTTCATTAAAAATCACAACATCTCTCCAATACTATTCATCTATCTCCCTGATGTTATTTTTTGTTGAATCAATGGGATGGTTTGCCCAAGGCCATTCTACATGCCGTTAGACCCATGTTCGCCTTTCTTTACAATCATTTCTAATGATATTGACCCAATATCATGCCACGTTGAAACGCGAAACTGGCTTGGGCTGCTTCGAACTGCATGCTTTGGACAATCAATCCTTATTATATATATTATTTAAAAGTATTAATCCATATAGTATATATTACGTAATGACTGCCATACTGTGCAGTCAAAAAACTTTTTGCCAGACCCTGGGCACCACGTTTTTTTTGGGATGATTAGTCCAGGGCATTTAATTAGGTTTACCCTTGTGGCATAACTAAATATTCTGCCCGATTTTATAAGCCGCAAATTTTGGTAGATTGTACAACATCTACCTATTCTACCTATCAATAGTTAGATACATGACACAAACCATAGCCTTCATTACATATTTCACGGCATGGTTTGCTTTCAAGACCCTGTGAGTATGTACATAATCTAACTGCATGTATACTTAAATACTAAGGAATAAACCTACAATCTTCACACAGACTCAACTACTTGTGATGGACAGATTACGGAAACAGTACACAGTGACTAAATTTACAATATCTCAATGCATGGTCTACTTTCCAGACCCTGTTAAGATAAATTTAAGAAAACCATTTATTCAAATGAGATACAGGAAAACTACACAACACTGAAAATCACAAGTCTTGTTACCAATTCTAAATTTGTAATATCGCAGTATGGTCATATCCGACCCTGTGATAAATTCATGTGCATCATCAAATTACACCTATCAATTACCAAGTAATAACTTTACATACAGTACATGCTAACTTCAATAACGATATTTCTACAATGGATTTACATAAAAAGACACAAAACAACGCACGCATAATACGCGTGCACCTGTTATACAATATTTTACGGAATGGTCTACTTTCAAGACCCCGTTGAAAATAAAAGAAATCATTAAATAAATAATGATTACAAGTAAACAAGTCCAAGACGCATGTTGATGTAGAGGTCCTATTACCTATTCCAAAATTGAAATATGGCGAAAATAGACCATTATATTTGTACAACATAAAGTGTTGCAACTTTTATACGTTAGAGACTGCTGACCGTTCTCTGCTGTACTTTTATTAAAGAAACTCTGATACATTTTTTTCTGCATTTTAACCATAAATATATGAACTTTTGATACATAAAGAAACTCTGATACATTTGTTTTTGCATTTTAACCATAAAAATATGAACTTTTGATACATAAATTTATTTTTTCTATACATATTATTACTGGTATTTTGTCACAAATGGCGCTTCATAGTACATGCCTCGTGCTTCATTGTTGACAATTAATGATAATGCATGACGTCACTTTGAAACCCGATATTGTTTGGCTGCAAACATCAACATTGCAAGCATCAACATTATTAACATCAACATTGCAAACATCAACATTGCAAACGTCAACATTACAGACATCAAATTAACATTACAGACATCAAATTCTGAAATTACAAAGTTGCAAAGTGTGTTGTTGAAAGATGAAGAGCGGATTTGAATGTTGTTGCCCAATATTGATTGTTGAGTAGCAACATTGGTTGTTGATTGGTAACATTGTAACGCCATAGTCGCATGGCTGTTACCCTCATTCCAATAATTTTGCAGTGATGCATAATGAGTAAAAGCCAATCAAAAGCCGCCTTAACACGTTAGCTTCTGGGAAAGCCCGCACGGCTCACGACCTTCAAATATTTTTTTGTTGTTGTCAGTATTATTATTCTGTGCAGGGATGCCGGAAATTGCCGAGGGCAACAGGTGCAAGTTTGTTATCAAAAGGGCATATTAAAAACAAAAGGGCACAAACAAAAAATGAAAGGGCACTTGCCTGCTTATAACTTTGAAGCAGACACAAAAAATATACATATGTAATCTTGTTCATGTTAAATCTGCTCGTGGTAAATCTTCCATGCACCCATTGCACGCATAGTCAGTACGCGCTTGCGCTCAGAGAGTTGGGAATACAAAAGGAAAAGGGTGCACTTGAACCCGCTGCACTCGTCGTTCTAGCATGCGAACAGGCGTTTATTCAGGTGGGCCTCGTATAAACGACTGTTTGCCGGCATTTCGTCACAGGAATTTCGCCCCCCCCCAGGAGATTCGCTCTCCCCCTCTCAAAAGGGGGCGATATTCCTAGAAATATCACCCCTGGGGGGGGGACAAATATCCTAGGATATCGCCCCCCTTTAGGAAATTCGCCCCTCCCTATATAAATTTTAATTTTTTTTGTCTAAAAACAAACGATTGCAAATTGAAAAGAGCATTGAAAAATGTGATTTATTTATTTATTACAATAAGGGGACAAAATTCACAGACATTTTAGGCTAATTAATATACTGAATAATGCTCAATTTATAGGACAAAATGTTTCTGGGCTTTGAATGGGTATGACACGTTGTATACATACTAAGATCGTCTATTTTATATTTTGAAATTCGATCAATTCCATCATGGTTGTCAATACAATGGTTGTCAATACATGGTTGTCAATACAACATAGCCATAGGAAAATAACATCACGCTGAGGCGGAGACAACCAAGTTCAAATTTGGCAAATGTGTCACTGTACAACTACTGTTAATAATAACAATGAAACTAAACGTATTTCTTCTATAAACACGATAGTAAATTTATAGCTTAGCCTTAGCTGATGTGGTGGTATAGTACTAAATACCATAAACACGATCTATATATAAGAATTACCTAACCAATTCAATTATTTTCAATGAATGTCAATGAATAATTTGGTGAATACTGCATCGGTAGAGACAAGTAGGTTTTTTAGTGCTCTTTATAATGAAATTAAACGGTTTGATTATATAAAAAAAACATATAGTTTATGCATGTGTCAGTAGTAAAAAAAAAGTTTTGACAATAACAATAATTACAATAACCATCACGGTGATTACTTAAGGATTAACACTGAAATTGCAAAATATGCTATGCATGGTGTGCTGTGAATCGTCATAAATCCTATTGATCTACTGTAAGCCCCAGGGACGCCGGAACTGGGGGGGGGGGAGGAGGGGCAGCTGCCCCTCTGCCTTTTGCTAGGAGGAGCAAGGGGGGCAGAAGTGCCCTTTGAGTTATGAAATACTACCTGATAAATCACATTTCCAGTGATCCTTTTTGGGCAAAATCATGAGGTGTGATCCTGAATGTGACCTAACTAAGTGCGTTTGCTTTCATATATTGGCAAGTCGGCACATAATTGTAGGTTTATATCTTCATCGGGGTCTGTAGAGGTGCCCTTTGGTGTGCGTTTGCCCCCCTTGCCTTTTTATCGTTCCGGCGTCCCTGGTAAGCCCTTTCGATACATGTAATTGTAAATTTGTATTCTTACAGCGCTTGAAATAATGCACCAGTCAGTGAAATACCCCTACCCCCCTACCCGGGGAACAGCGGGGCATTAGACCAAAACCTTGCTCTAATTCACTCTAATGCCCGCTATACCCACTTTATCCAAAATTTGTGAACGGTTTGTTACAGACTGGTTACTTAAGTCAATTGGTGCAAATATTGATACGCGGCAGTTTGGCTCCGTTAAAAATTCCTCGGCTACTCATGCCCTACTGAGCCTGACCCATCACCTCCTGAGTGCTACAGATGCTTCAAGCAATGCGGTGAGAGTATTCTTGCTTGATTTTGAAAAAGCTTTTGATCGAATAGATCACAACATACTGGTGAATAAGCTACAACAAATGAGTGTTTCCCAAACCATTATAAATTGGATTAGAAGTTTTCTCTCTGATTGATTGAAATGGAACGAGCATGTGAACCATATTGTTAAAAAAGCGGGAAAACGCCTTTATATGCTAAGGTTGTTAAAACGGTCAAATGCCGACAATAGCATTCTAATTTTGGTATACTGCACCATTATCAGACCAGTACTTGAATATGCCTGCCAAGTTTGGCACTTCAATATTACAGAATACCTAAGTGAAGATATCGAAAAACTCCAGAAGCGGGCTCTGCGTATTGTCTTGCCATTCGCTACTTACAGAGAAGCTTGCAGTATTACTGGTATACCCTTACTGAAAGATCGGCGGCGATTATTATGCGAACGTTTTTTTGTTAAAAATGCACATGGAGACAAATTGGGTGACCTCTTACCGCCTAATCTTGAACATAACTATAATACACGTTATGGAAGCGATTATAATAACTATAGTTGTAAAACGGACAGATTTATGAAATCGTTTTTTCCACAGATGGTTTCATATATGAATAGACCATAATTTTAATATTTTTAAATTTGAACTCTATAACTTTTTCAACTGAAGTTATGAATAATTTTATGCATTTAGATATTCATATTGTAGTATAATGAGACTTTTTACTGATGTAATTTAACCTAAAGGTTACAAATCGGTATTTTATTAAATTATTATTAATTATACGGGCCACTCTCACTTGCCTAAACGCAAATAATGTCCCCGCTCTCCGGGCCCAACATACAATATCTAAAAAGAATATCAATCTAAAGGAAATAGACCTATTTGATAAATACTATACCTTATTCGTACTTAATTTCGCACATCTATGAAACTGGTTTTGCTCATTGTTCGGGGCCCCTAAAAGGCCCTAAAAACTGGGCCTTTCCCTTTTTACTTACAATTTAAGTCATATCAGAATCTATGGTCTATACTGAATGCTTAAAAAATGGAACATCTAAACGGTTTACAATAACTTTGAAGAAAATAAAACAGTGACCTAATAAGACTAATAACACAAGAGATTGTCAGTTCGTTCGCAAAATTATCAGTTCGCTTTCATTGCTCATTCCCAGTCCTTTATCGTTTTCAAGATGGCGGCTATGTCTAATTCCCGATATAAGCCCTGCCATAGTCACCGGTACCTGATACACATAACTAATACAGTCTAAATCCCCGTGTACCGTGGCCAAATATAAGGTTCAATCGCTCAATAATTCCCCGCTATTCCCCGGCATTCCCCGGGTAGGGGGGTGCGGGCCATCCGCATTCCGCTGACTGGTGCATAACGTTCCCAAATTTCCTGATCATGGTGATCGGCAGTCATGACTTTCCCTGCTTTTTTCAGGTTGGAAACCGAACTCCTGCTTTTCCAACGATCATAGGCAATTTCTTGCTGATCATTGATCGGTGATCGGCTGTTATTTCAAGCTCTGTCTTAACAATTTTGAATTGATACTGATTTGAAATGACTAAAGCCATGTAATAATTATTAAGGGCGAAATTTTTAACGGAGGAAGAAAATCCTAAAGGAATGGTGAAGTTTCTAAAGGAGGGCGAATTTCCTAAAAGGGGGCGAATTTCCTAGGAATTTCGCCCCCCGGGAGGGCGATATCACCCGGAATTTCGCCACCCTGGTGGGCGAAATTGTAGGGGGGGGGAGAAATTCCTGGGACACCTGCATTCCTGAATCTGTGATGTTTGTTTAGTTGCGTTCCGCATAGAACATCACAATGTTTCCGCCGAACACTTGTTTGGTTATGTTCTTTTAGTTTTTACAAACAGTCGGTCTAAATTATTAGTGCGTACGTCATTAGTACGTTATGGGGGCAGCCTCAAACTGAATAATGTGACAAAGGGCGACCCCAATTTTTTAATTCTTTCCTACTCATTTTCAATCTCTCTCCTTTATCGTGTCCCACAAAATATTTCACCTTTTTAGTTCTTATAATTGTAGTTTCCATAGTTTATTACATATATGCAGTTCACCATAGGAGTCGGAGTAAATAACAACCATTTTGAACACTGGTCCTCTAATTATTTAGGCTACACAATGTCTTACACCAGTACTTGTCCCATTCCCTATTTTACACCAAAAAATGTAACGAATTAAATGTTGGAAGGGGGGTCCTAAATTTTCTAGGTGAAGGTGGGGGCGTCTTGAAAATAAAGGGGCGGCTATAGAAAAATTTTCAATATTTGGTATTTATCAAACACTTCCCCCCTCTCCATCCCATTATTAATGAGCGATCCCTTCAGAACTTAGAAATGAATAGATACAGTCATGTAGACGTAATATAATTACTTGTATTTTTAAATTTCTAAAAGCAACTACCCCACTACCTCTACTGATTAGTTCGTTCTTAAATAAAGAGATTGATTGATTGATTGATTACCAATTTACAACGGAGCTAGAGCTATATCACTGGAGTTTATCGTCAGATTTTCAAACTGGCTGATGAGTTTACATTTCGGGCTAATTTGCAGTATACTTGCCACCAGTTACCGACTTGCTTTTCACTGTTTTAAAGACTGCCTTATAATTACGTCATTCTTCACCCATTTGAAGGAAGGCATTTTCATCGCTCTAATTTTTTTCAATAAAGTTCGTTATTGATTACTTAGAACGATCTGGTGGACGAAGAAGATAATTTAGATGAGGATGATGATTTAGACGAAATAGACTTAGAAGATGAAGATGATGCAGATGGTGATATCGATGGTGATGAAGATGATGATATCGATAATGATGATGATGATGATGAGGGTGATGACAGTGATGATATCGATAATGATAAAGATAATGATGGTATCGATCAGGATAATGATGATGATGATGACGATGATGATAATGACGATAATGAAGATGATGATGATGTTGATAATGATAATGATGATATTGATGATGATGATGACGATGATGATGATGATGACGATGATGATGATGATGATGATGATGATGATGATGATGATGATGATGATGATAAAGAGGATGATGATAATAAAGAGGATGGTATTTATCGCCATCATCATGGTAGGAAACATCATCATAGGGGAAGACATCATCACGGAAGAGGCCACCATCACCGGAGGAGAGGACTATGTGTAATGGTAAGATTTACATTTTATTTTCCAGCGGCAAGCCAGCACCAACTAATTGGCTGCACGATAATCATGTAATTCCTTGGCACGAAACATCCCCCAAGGAAATTTAGTAAATTTGCGAATTTTGTTGTCTCCAGAACGCTATATTTCGTGCATTTAAAAGTGACAAGTGGTAATTCACTATTTGCTTCCTGGTCCCTTGGAATATTTCTTTCGTATTCGAAAAATTGGTAAATATTGAGGTATAATTATGGTTTAAATTTTAAATGCTGGAGAACGCACATCTTTTATAAGCGGCTATGATAAGTTAAGGGATAATTTCTGCCGAATGTAATGAATAAAAGTTTTTGTGGCCTTGGAAAATGTTAAAATATGAATAAAAATGTTGATATGATGCTCATGTCTCCGAAGGGATTTTTAATGAGGACTTGCATGTCGTCATATAAATACACATAACTATCAGGGCCGTCGCTATGGGGGGCGGGGATGACAACCCCTTAAAAACAGCTATAGGCAAAATAACGGATTTATCGGCAAATTGTTTTCATATAGGCGGCGAAAATATTCAAATGGCTCGGATTAAAAAGTAACAGTTATAGCAAAAAATTGGAAAAATTTACGAATATTAGTGAAAAATTTAAAAATTACGGTACATTAATGCGAAAGTTACTGAAAAATGGTATTGCCGGAAATATAATCCTTCCTCCCCGCTCTCCAACAATTTTGGGAAAAGAAATATTAATTAGCGACTGAAATGTTGTCGGTAAATGCGATACTACACCATTCTACGTTAGCCTCTTCGCTACAGCCATGTTAACTACAGGTTTCGTTTTTGCCTTTACCTGGTTGAACGAGGTGTTTCGAAGTTATCAATATTTAAATTTGTATTTTTTGCTTTTGTTTGTAATCTAGCGTTGCAGGAAGGTTGCAATGGAATGCC